CTGGTAGATGGCAAGATAGTTATTCTTGAGTTCCTTCGGATCGACGAGGATGTTGAGGTCGGAGAGCCCTCTCATGTTGACCTGTTCCCGAGGTCAGTGCAAATGTGGAGAGACTGCAAGCTGGTGTTTGATAAGTTTTTGTTTCGGCCTGCGTGTCTTATTGGTGTAATTTGTTCTGTGAGCTTTGCCTTTTTTATGTAAGTTTAAAACAATTGTGGTCATTGTGGCCACAAGTTAGTTTACTTGAATGGGGGCCTTAAGCCTCCCTTTTATAATACTTTGTACAATTGCGACCCTGGTGGTCATCTTTTTCAAATTCCCGATCGTGGTGGTCGTTCTGTTCTAGTCTACATTGTTTATGTTTTTAACTTTATTTCGGGCATGATCTGTTGATTGTGTGGAATGTTTGCATGTCTTTGTATGCTTGTCTGCTTGAGACGTTTTTGCATTAATTAAGGATTTATGAGGGTTTGCTCGTTAGTTTTTGAGTTTTCCAGTGTGGGGAAACTAGAAAAATGGCCAGGGAAATTATCGAGCATGAGCCGTAACTTATTTCTCATTTTGAGGACCCGAGCTCGGCGACGTGAACTTCCCATCGTGAGCTGGGTGTTCTGTCAATGTGGTACCATGATGGTGGGGCTTGTTCAAGTTTCTCACGTCGGGCAAAGAATCTGCTCGTTAAAAGAGTGGAGACTCGCCTCTTCATTTAATTTTGAGTGACATGCTTGTACCTAGGCATGCACATGTGGTCGGGCCAAGGTGTGTTTGATGTTTTGACGAGACACACCAATTGCTCAGTGTCTTCACTATAATATTACCTTAGTTCTTCGGCGTTCCAAGGTCGAGCAAGTTTTTTCCCCTGTACGTTTTCCAGGTAGTAGGCTTTGTTCCTCGTCTTTGCATGAACGCGGTAGGGGTCTTCCCAGTTTGCAGTGAGCTTGCCCTTGCGAGATTCTTTGTGATTTCTCTTTAGGATTAGACTGTCGACTTCGAATTCATGCCGTATGAATTTGGTGTCATATCGTATGGTGATTTTTTGTTTGAGAGAGGCTTCTCGTAAGGCCTCTATTGTTCAGATCTCCTCGACTAGATCGAGATCTTCCCTTAAAGCGACATTGTTCATCTCCTCGTTAAGGGGAGCTTCGGTTCGTCTGGAGGGTTCCCTGATTTCAACGCGAATGATGGCCTCGGTTACATATGCTAATCAGAAAGGAGTCTCCCTGGTTGATGAGTGAGTTGTTCTCTGATAGCCCCAAAGTATGTTGTGTAGATCCTCGACCCATCTCTTTTTGGTTTCGTCCAGCCTTCGCCTGAGGCCTCGCAAGATCACCCTGTTCACGGGCTCGGCTTGCCTGTTTGTCTGGGAGTGTTCAACAGAGTCGAAGTGTTGGATGGTGCCTAACTTGGAAACAAATTCTTGGAAGTTTTTTCTGTGAATTGTGTCCCATTGTCGATGACAATCACTTGTGGAATACCGAACTGAGCAAGGACGTTTCTTTTGTAGAAACGGAGAATGTTTTGCATGATAATTCTGGACAGCGCTTTTGCTTCTATCCACTTGGTGAAGTAGTCGATATCCATTATTAGATATTTTTTCTGCTTCTCTCCTACCACGAATGGTCCGAGGAGATCCAAACCTCACCAGGAGAAAGGCCATGGGGAAGAGAGAGATTTGAGCATGTTTGGAGGTGTTAGGTGCATGTCCCCGTGGAACAGGCATTTGTCGCACTTGTTTACATGCTCTTTGGCGTCGTTCTGCATAGTGAGCCAGTAATATCCTGTCTCTAATGCTTTTCTTTTAAAGGATGTCCCGCCCAAGTGTTGGCCATTGATTCCTTTGTGGATTTCTCGTAAGACGTAGACTGCTTTGTATTGATCGACACATTTGAGGAGAGGGGTGGAAAATCCTCTTCTATACAGCATGTCCTCGACAAGAACGTAGAAGCAGGATCTTCGCCAGACTATGCTAGCTTCTTTTTGATCGGTTGGTAACTCTTCTTTTGTGTGGTAGTTGTATATTGGGGTCATCTAGCAGTCATTGCCCCCTATGGCATACACGTCGAGAGTCGGGGAGGGTTTTTCAATGCTCGAACGAGGAATAATTTCCTGTATTACCGATTTGTTTCCCCTTTTCTTCTTCGTGCTTTCCAGTTTTGACAGAATGTCTGCCCGAGTGTTATGTTCGTGGGAAACGTGTTGTATGTCTATAGACTCGAATTTCTTTGTTCTTTCTTGGACCAGAGCCCAATACTCGACGAGATGGTCATTTTTGACCTAATACTCTCCTCGTGCCTGAGATTCCACAAGCTGGGAGTTTGTGAAGATTTTTACCTCCTCGGCCCCCAGGTCTTCGGCCAGGCACAATCCTGCTAAAAATTCTCTGTATTCGACTTGGTTGTTTGAGGTTGGAAAGGATAACTGAGGGAGACTTCGATCAGAATCCCCTCTTCATTCTCCAGGATAATACATGCATCACTTTCTGTCAAACTGGAAGCTCTGTCGACGAAGATGGACCACCTACACGTCCTGTCTGGGGGCGCGGTTGAAGTCATTTCAGCCACAAAGTCAGCTAGTGTTTAAGCCTTTAGGGCTTTCCTGCTTTCGTACTTGATGTCGAACTCGAAAAGTTATAAAGGCCATTTCAGCATCCTGCCCTCCATGTCGGGTCGACCAAGCAACTGCTTTATTGGTTGCTCTGTCCGGATGATAATTGTGTGGGTCAAGAAATAGTGTCTCAGTCTCCTTGCTGCATTAATGAGCGCTAAGGCTACTTTTTCAATCTAATGGTATCTTACTTCGGGGCCCTGTAAAGATTTGCTTGTGAAATAGATGGGCTTCGGCCCCTCAGGGGTTTCTTGGATGAGGGAAGTGCTCACGGTTTCAGATGCAACGACCAGATAGTGGTAGATGACTTCTTACTTTTCTCGTCGAGAAAGGACTGGTGGTTGTGACAGCGCCTGCTTTATGTGAACGAGGGCGTGCTCGCACTCTTCTGTTCACTCGAAGGATGCCTCTTTACGGAGAAGTTTGAAGAGGGGTGTGTGTGTTAGGAAGATTTTGCCACGAAACGAGATAGTGAGGTGAGAATTTCGTTTAGGACCTGAATATATTTCTTCGAGTTTGGCGTTGGAAACTCATAAATGCCCGGCATTTGTTGGAGTTGGCTTCGATTCCTCGCTCCGTTAGGTAGAAGCCGAGGAATTTTTCAGCTCGTACGTCGAAGGTGCATTTTTTCGGGTTAAACCGCATTCTACATTTTCTTGCTCGCTCGAAAACCTTCTTTAGGTGGAGATCATGGTTGGTTTCTTTTTTGTACTTGACAATCATGTCGTCCATATAGACATCGATCATGCCTCGTATCTCTCATTGAAAGACTTTGTTCATCATTAGCTGGTAAGTAGCGTCGGCATTCTTCAGATCGAAAGGCATTACATTGTAGTAGTTGTTGCCTGACTCAGTCATAAAGGCCGTGTATTTTTTGTCCGTCTTGGTCATGAGGATCTGGTTGTACCCAGAATACGCGTCCATGAACGAGAGCAATTTAAAACCTGCAGAATTATCAACTAGTTTATCGATGTTGGGAAGGGGATAAGCATCTTTCGGGAAAGCCCGGTTGAGATCGGTATAATCAATGCACATGCGCCATTTTCCATTTGATTTTTTAACAAGGACTACATTGGAGAGCTAGGTTGTGTACTTGGCTTCAGAAATAAAATTTTCCTTTAAGAGGTCTTTTACAGCCTACTCAATAGCCTGCTCGGCAGCCTCTGTTTTCTGGAGACTACTTTCGTCTATGATGAGCAACCGCCTTAAGGGCAGAATCTACTGTCAGGTGATGACAAGCTGTCATACCCCAAATTTGTCTGCCCTTTATTTCTACAGTCAAAAATATTTTTAACATTGGTTTTTTATAATATTCTTTGGTTCAATTTTACTAAACATTTTAACAATAATTTATTTCGCTCATTTAAAAATGTATAACAGTTCATTTCAAATTATTTGTATTTTAAATAGAAAATACTTGTTTGTTTTCATATACTTTCAATTGGGTTTTTTATTTCAAATGGGTAACATAACACAGTTGATAAAGAATGAAGGTTGTAAATATAACGTCGTGGGTTTTTTTAACCTAGTTTTAACTCTATAAATAGGACTATTGTCCATCATAACTTTTCATCCATAATCTCAATCTCTCATTTCTGGTTTATTCCAGGATTTCTGAACAGAAACTCTGAAAAATATATCCAGAAATCTAGAATTTCTCACAACAACCTTTCACACACGATCCACAAAATCCACGAATTCACAATTTCACTCTCACACACTTCTATCAATTTTTTCAATTTGTTTTCACATGCATTCTTTCAAACATTTTTTATAACCTTTTTAAACTATTATAGTCGATGATTTTCATATGAGGTCTCCCTTTTTAAAAATAGTTTACAGTTTCTTTTTAATCATATGATGATAATTTCTGATTGTCCTCTTTTAAATGGAATCATATTTTTCTCAATAGTAATTTCCATATTCTAAATTTCTCGTTAACCGTCTATTTTTATGTTTTACACTATTTTTACCATTTCAATCCTATTCTTTGTATCCAATCACTAAATCAATTTGCATCACTATATTTTTTACTAAGTTTTATTCTAACAATCTCAAGATCTCAAACTTCCTGTAACAAGAAACCACTCAACACAAACATCCAACTTACACCAAAATTCTAGCAGCACCAATAATCATCACATAAAAACCATAACTTTCACTAGCCATGTTCACTTTCTTTCTGTAACACAAATTCACAAGCTTACCAAACAAATCACAAATCCATCCAAAACAAGCCATTTGTATAACCATTAACTCACACAAACATTTCCATTAAACCAAAAAATGCATAAATCTGTAAACGATTCACAAGCAATATACGAAGCTCATTTAACATACACAGTTCATCACCATACAAAGCGTTTATCATAAATTTGACAACAAAGCTCAATGCCATGAATCAAACAGAGGAAGAAGAGTTAAATCAAAGGGGGCTCAAAGCTTCTGCCGACAACACCGACAAACAACCACCCTATCTAATGCAATCACAACCTCCGCTCAGACCATCGAGCCATCACCTTGTTCTTGTCTCCCACACACCATCACTGGACATGCGAGACTCCAGCATCAACGCCTCCACACGATGTTGTCGGCACGCAACAAGTCGACGACACCTCCGCACAACAGTGAACCACCCTCCATGTCGTACACCACTACCATCGTCGTCGCCATCAAGATCCAGTCGCCTCCCCTGCAACCACAACTTCGAGCATATCGGAATCTCTGCCACCGTTCCAGATTACGGTCGCCACTGTTACAAGATGACGAAGCCACACGATGCCACCGTCGCCGATATTCCATTCTTATAGTAGTGGTGTAGTTGATAGTTGATAGAAGATAGTTTTAGAAAGTTGTTTAGAAAAAAAACTATGTCATTGATTTCTTGGATGATCCATTACAAGATACCAAATGCATATTTATAGACTCAAGTCACTAACCTCTCAATGGTGGTGAATGTTTCTACATTACTTTAGATTTTTCTAGAGTTTTCATGATATGTTAGTATCATGATAGTTCTAGATTTTTCTATCTTTTGCATACACTTATAGTTCTAGATTATTCTACCATACTCATACACACTATAGTTTCTAGGATATTCTACCATTACCATACATATTATATTTAGAATATTCTAGAAATTTGTATCAATTTCAACACTCCTCCTTGATGCAAATTTCTGTAACTCCAAGCATAGTTCGCAGCTCTTCAAATCTTGGTCTCGGTAACACCTTCGTGAATATGTCTGCAATTTGTTCTTCTGTTCTGCAGTAGTCGAGTTTTATCTCCTTAGTTTCTTTAGCTTCTCTAATAAAGTGATACTTGATTGCTATGTGTTTTGTTCTACTGTGATGCTCTGGATTTTTCGCCATTGCAATTGCTGATTTGTTGTCACAATTAATTTTAGTAGGCTCATCTTGTTTTTATCTCATGTCTTCAAGTATCTTGCGAAGTCATATAGCTTGACTCGTTGCTTCAGCAGCATCCACATACTCTGCTTCTGTTGTTAATTGTGCAATGGTATCTTGCTTCTTCGACGCCCAAGAGAAAATTCTCGATCCTAGTGAGAAAGCATAGTCATAGGTGCTCTTCATGTCATCTACCGAACCTGCCCAATCACTATCGGTGTAGCCAAGTAATCTTGAGTTGGTTTCGGTAGTGTACCATATACCAAACTCTTTTGTTCCTTGTAGATACCTTAAAATTATTTTTCCTGCTCCAAAGTGTATTTGACTTGGGCTTTTCATGAATCTTGATAGAAGACTTGTAGCATACATTATGTCTGGCCGTGTAGCTGTCAAATATAGAAGGCTTCCAATTAGACTTCGATATTTGGATGCATCAGCTTCTGGTGTTCCATCATTCTTCTGTAGTTTCTCATTTGTTATGAGTGGAGTAGCGACAGGTTTGCAACCGTACATATTGAATTTCTTGAGTAAACCTTCTGTGTATTTATTTTGTGAGATGAATATCCCTTCATTTCTCTGACTTACCTCTATACCGAGGAAGTAACTCATCAAACCAAGGTCGGTCGTCTCAAAGGTCTTCATCATGTCTTCTTTGAACTCCATCATCATCTTGGTATTGTTTCCCGTGTAGATAAGGTCATCCACATATAGAGAGAGTAAGAGAGTATACTGACCCTGAGACTTGATGTAAAGTGTAGGCTCACTCTTGCTCCTCCTGAATCCTTAATCTATGAAATACTGATCAGTTCTGCTATACCATGCTCGAGGTGCTTGCTTCAAACCGTTAAGTGCTTTTCTTAGTCTTAACACTTTGCCTTTTTCGCTTTCAGAAATGAATTCTTGTGGTTGTTCCACATAGATCTCTTCTTCAAGTACACCATTGAGGAAGGCTGATTTGACATCTAGTTGCTGGATACTCCGCCCTCTTTGTGCCGCAATATCTATTAGAGCTCTAATGGTATCAAGATGAGCTACTGGTGCAAATGTCTCATTGTAGTCAATCCCAGGTTGCTGTGAGTAACCCTTAGCTACTAACCTTGCCTTGTGTTTTTGTATGGTGCCATCAAGGTTGAGCTTTGTCTTATAGACCAACTTAACCCCAATGATATATTTTCCATGGGGACGATTTACTAACTCCCATGTGTTGTTTTTCTCGATCATCTTTATCTCTTCTTCCATTTCCTCGACCCATACTTCTTGCTTTGATGCTTCTTCAAAGCTTTCAGGTTCAAGTATGGCCAAGTTACAGGTTTCATATATGTCCATCAAAGATCTTACTCGTCTTGGAGTAGACTCTGGTGATGATAATTCTTGATCATGTTGTTGTGGTGGAGGTGAAAAAGGTTCACATGGGCCTTCTTCCTCATATTATTCTTGAGGTAGTTGAGCTGGTATAAGGATGTTCTTCTCCACTTTTTCTTCATCCCAATTCTAAGAAGCATTCTCATCAACTTCAACATCTCGACTAATGATGAGTTTTTTAGTTTGCAAGTTATAGACACGATAGCCTTTAGAGATTGTGCTATACCCCAGGAAGATACCTCGTATAGTTTTCTCTTCAAGCTTGTGCCTCTTCACGTCTGGAATATGAATGTAGCATATATATCCAAAGACCCTTAGGTGCTTTGTTGATGGCTTCTTCCCGTTCCAAGCTTCAATTGGAGTCTTATCTTGTACTGACTTAGTTGGACATTTGTTAAGTATGTAAACAACAATGTAGACTGCTTCAGCCCAGAATATGTTAGGAAGTCCCTTCTCCTTCATCATCGATCTAACCATCTCCATAACTGTGCAATTCTTTCTCTCAGATACACCATTTATTGAGGAGACTATGCGACTGTAAGTTGTCGCTCAATGCCTTCATCCTCACAAAATCTATCAAACTCGCGGGAGGTGCATTCTTTGTCGGGATCACTTCTTAGTACTTTTATCCGTTTTCCACTTTGATTTTCAACAAGGGCCTTGAACTTTTTGAATACTCCAAATACTTCTGATTTTCTTTTAGGAAATAGACCCATGACATTCTATAGAAGTCATCAATGAAGAGTATGTAGTACATGTTGTTCTCGTGTGATGGCGTCCTCATCCGTCCACAGACATCAGTATGAATTAGCTCCAGCAGATCTTTTGCTCTTCATGATCCGCTTGTTGAGAACGAAAATCGGTGTTGCTTACCAAGGAGACATTCTTCACACACTTCATTGTTCTCCTTTATGCTTGGAAAATCTCTCATCATGTTCTTCTCATGTAACAATGATCGCGACTTTGTGAGTCTTAAAGAATCTAGACCGCAAGTATACAGTCCTATCGCGTGTAGCTTTAAAGATTATTGAATCCCAAGGGACTAAATGTCGAACTACCGTTATCTTAGGTTACTACGTAAATCTAAGGATAATAATATAATTAATTGGGGTTTGGGAACCTAACTGATTAATATCTAGTTTAGATTCAAGGGGGAATATCGGTATGCAATGGTCGGGCTTCGGGGATTTAGCAACTCGATGACCTAATTCGGATTTATAAAATATTTCTCAGTAGGAGGTATTTGTTTGAAAACCCTCTTCTCACACTCTCGTGTTTATTGATTCAGATCCTACTATCAAACCTAAGTGAGTGCTCTCGCTGTTTCAAATAGAGTTTAAAAATAGTTTTTGAAAACAAATAAAACCTAATTAACTTAAAAGCGCTCTCGTTGTATTTTAAGTTAATGCCCAATTATCACTCTCAAGTTATTATCTCAAACTCTAGTTTTATTGATCCTAACTTCTATCTATATTTTACTCTCGTAACAAAACAGTTGGTTTTTAGAATTGATAATTGAAATCGGAAAAGTTATTCTTAAAAAGGAACTGATCCATCGACGTTGCCAAAATCCCGTTAGCTATGTGACCTTACATACCGATAAATGAATTTAGCCTAACATGTTAAACAATTTAGCAACAATGCAACAAAAATAATTATCATCAAACAATTTAAATAAACATGACATTTCGAACAATCTTGACATAGATAAATAAAATACTTAAATTAAACCTGACAATAATATGGCGGAATATTTGGCTCACTTCAAGTATCTCGCAGAGATTGATGAAAAATAACTAGCGGAAATAAATAATGCGGAGAATATTTTTGGCAGAGTAACACTAAAATTAAAGAGAAGAAAAATGTATTTGAAAAAGGAATAAAAAACTCGGGGGCTCTCGAACAGGAATTATGAGGCATTATTTATAGGTCTGGAGGTGCGTGGGGGTTGAGATATTTTCTCCTCCCACTTGCCCAGCGTAACGGTCCTTACGCTCCTCTCTTCAAGGAGGATGGAACTGTAACACCCCTTCTATAATACCCCGAATAATATTAATTATATCAATGATTAAAGACATGTTCCATCAGAGTTAACACGGAACAAGGGATGTCACAATTATGAAATAAATAAAACTTCCAATAAAACAGTAGTCATGCTACACTGAGGGTCATTATTCAAATAATTCAATCAAATTAAGACCATGTCTTACACAGCAGAAAAATACCATAACCAAAACGGAATAAACCAAAACATAATTATTCCCAATGAAATTCAAAGAAACAATTGAATAATAACTAATTCCTCAACTAAACGTTCCCCAGTGTTACAACCTATCAGAGCACGACACTGACACGCAGACTTAAAGTAACATAGCTCTAGAGTCATCCTCACCAACTCCTGAGCTGCTAACTTTAATCTGAAATTGTTAAAGTAAGGGTGAGATTTCTCATAATTAACATGCATTATAAGCTTCTAAATCAACATTATATCACAAGCATATTATTTCGCCCATTTTAGCATAAATTCAGATTCAACACGCAGTTCCAATCATACAAGTCATTATGCACAAATCAATAATCAACCAAAGAATTGTAACACTGGAAGACATCCTAACATGTTACAATTCCATGCAAACACAAATGCAGACACAATGCATGTGGTACCAACACGTGACCAAGTCACCCAACACTGATCCATCATCAACCGGATACAGCAACCATCGATTCGTCCATAAACACTCGGACACGAATCCAGCCTAACCACCCATCATCACCCGGGTATCGATTAACGGCAATACAAGTCAAATTCCACACAATGGGAATTAACTCCACCAAAACAATGCATATGCACGCACATCACTAGCATGCAACATCAAATCAGTCTATGAAATACATCAATTTATCATAACTGAACCAAAACCAAAAACATGATATCTCAACGATCATGCACACCATCATTAGCAACATAAACATGCCTTTCATTCACACAATACTAATACATCCATCCATCACAGGTTCACTGCTACATACACACTCATGTG